TTCTTCTTCTTCTTCTTCTTCTTCTTCTTCTTCTTCTTCTTCTTCTTCTTCTTTTTCTTCTTCTTCTCTTCTTCTTCTTCTTCTTCTAAAAATATGGATTTTTACCTATACGCCCCCTTTATCAACTTTGTTGGGCCTTTTGCCTTCTAGGTTTTTTTTCTTGTTTTTTTTTTGTCCTTCATGGACAAAGTAAAACATAAGGCTGTCTCAACATTGGTTTGAATGTTTATTCACCCGTTTTCTTCTTTGTCCATGCCTATTTTGTCTTAAAGTCCTGTTAGGTCAACGACATCATAAGGCAGGAGTACTTTTTCCGGCCGAGTCGCCACAAGGTAAACTACTCCAAAAATCATTGTTTGCATTATTATACTTAAACAGAAGATTATGACATTGATGTTGGGTTGAATGGTTACTCACTTCTTTTCTTCTTTATCCTCTTCTACTGTCATGTGACCCAGTGCCGTCCCTACGTCATGAAGCCAAGTCCGGTACTCGCTGTCCCATAGCCATGTCTGGCTACCTGTTGTTGTAACAGCCAGGAGGGAAGGGGGTAACTAGGGTCAGATCTAGATAAAACAGGATTTTTTAAAATATCAATAAATTTACCCCCCACCCCCTCCCCACTCAGTCTTTTTTCTTCGTGGGCGACACAGTTTAGATCATTTAGGAGGCTGGTTTCCAACCCTGCCTGTAAAAGTTCCGAAGATAAGAGGTGTTACAAAAGAGTAACAAACACAAAAAAGAAGGAGGAGAGATAAGGACAATAGAAGTTGTGTTTTGTTTTGATTTTTTAGGAAAGAAGGAGCTAACTATACCACAGCAACCACTCATCATCCTTTAAGGACAGATTAACGAACAAGACAATGAACCATATATTATTATGTAAGTACTCTGTGCTGTGTCCCCTTCCTCTTGGCAACTTGTCTGTCTGGATTTGTCTCTCCCTGAACTCTGACGCTGAGCAAGCAAAGATGAACCTACAGCTGGGAGCTTCCTCCAGTGGTCTCTCTGTTCCTCCTGATGATGGTGGGATAGTGAGACATTGAAGAGCTTATTGTATTTGTGGCTCAGTGAGATATTGAGTCAGAACATTAAGAACTATTTACGTGTTGCTATTGAAGATATTTATAGAAAGCCCAAAGCATAACTTGTGCTTTTTTTTTTCAGGGAAGAGCGCTATATGAAAATCATTTTTGAATCCCCCCCCCTTGGGAACATCGATGGTTGTGCACAATACTCATGTTGACAAACTGTTATCGAATTTGTGACACTCCCGACTGGGCTTATCAATGCGTGTGAGTGTGTGTTTGTGTATCAATGTGTGTGTGTGTGTGTGTTTGTTTGTTTGTTTGTTTGTGTATGTGTGTGTGTGCGCGCACGTGTGTGTGTATGTGGGTGTGTATGTGTGTGTATGTGTGTGTATGTGTGTGTGTGTGTATGTGTGTGTGTGTGTATGTGTGTGTGTGTGTGCGCGTGCGTGTGTGCGTGTAAGTTAATCTGTTCGGAGGTGAACTTTTCATAGCTTCCACTCTGGAATCTCACTGGAGTTTCCTACTTGTGACGGAGAAACTCCTAACCATTGCACCACGGGCGCCCGTGTGGGAATCAGTGTTATCAGATATCCCCGTCGTTTCGCTGAGAAACTGTAGACCGCATTGTTAACATTGGTTTCACGACTGTGTGGAATCATGCATTCGTCAGATTTTGGTTATATGGTTTTATTGATATCGTCTTAATTAAAGATTGTTCATTTGTCATTTTTTGGTCTAAAAAATGCTCGTATCTTGATTAGAAGTCGAGATATTTTCTACCTTGTGTCAACTGTTTTCTGTAAAATCCGCACTGAAATGTATTTTATATAAATCAAAATGATGTTAAACCAATAAAGAAAATATCGATATAGAATTCCCCACACAGGCGTTAAATGTTGGTTTCTTGGACTTCATAATTGAACAACTCCTGACTTCACCACGATGTCTCCAGATTCTTAAAGGCAGAGTCGAGACAGCCCAATTGGAAAATAAATCTAGTCTAAATCAACGCTTATTAACTTTTTAAAGCTACTCACTTTTAACACATTCAAGAGCCTAAGATTTTCGCACTGTCCACCAACATGAACCTCCAAGCGGGGCAATCAATAACAATTGAACTACCTGAGCATTTCTATTCCTGCAAAATTCATCATACTCTGTATAACTTCGAAGAGGGTGGTTGGTGGACGCTTTGGTGTGATTTATACCTTATTTCCTATCGAACATCTATCGTCATTTTTTCTCCGACTTTTTTCCTTTGTATGTTACTCTCGTGTAACCCCTCTAATCTTCTGCACCCATATGACCTGTATGAGTTGCGAGCGCCGTAAAACCTTACTAAAACTACAAACTAAAAGGCGTTACTTCGACAGCCATGGTCTGTTAAGATATCCACAAAAGAGACCAAAATAAATGCCTGCAAAGATGCCATCCAAAATGACCAATTACTCACAGTCACTAATGAACATAATCTTCACTTGGGATTATCTGTTCATTAAAGTGAAATTTGTTGTAAAAGTCAGCCTGTCCTCAGTTTCTGGTCAACTTTTAAACAATTCGTTTGAACAATACAAATCGATACTCTCTCCTACGAATCGTAGCTTCGTTAAAAGCGGACACGACTACGACACTAAAGAAACAAAAATCGATTCCCTTTTCGGCATGTCCATTCACAAGAGTCTGAAGATAAGAATGAATTCCGGATGAATCGTAATCGTTATCCTTCAGGGCTCCTCTTTGCCTTTGTTATTTTCCAAGAACGGCTTGCCAAGCCTATGAAATGACTAATTGTATACACAGACACACACACACACAAGTGAAGTTACGAAATAAATAAAAAAAATAAACACAAGTGAACATTTATAGTTTTCGTATTTACCGTAAACAGACGAAAGTGAACAGTAGCTGGTTTTTAAACGCCCAGGTTGGCAAGCAGGGGATTAAAGCTTTGTTTGGATAAGATTACCCTTCCTCTTCTCAGCCTCTGGCCAGCCAGCTCCTCACCGCTCTCTGTATAATCCTTGCAGCTTTCTGGCGTGGTGAGAGCATAAAGGTCGCCCACCTTGACACAAGCGTAAAAAAGTATAAGTATAGATATATAATTGACTGGACTAGATCAAGACTCAAGTAGATGGATTTGGGTGATGAGAATGGGAAAAAGGGAGAGGAGGAGCGGGTGATACAAAAAGGGACATACAGAGTAGAATGTGTGCATTGATATTCTATACAGTATCATAGTGTGTGTGTGTGTGTGTGTGTGTGTGTGTGTGTGTATGTGTGTGTGTGTGTGTGTGTGTGTGTGTGTGTGTGTGTGTGTGTGTGTGTGTGT